CCACAACAACTTCTACTTACATCATGATGTGGGCCCAGTCTTCACAAAAGGTTGGACACTCCTGCCTTAAAGTTTATAAAGTTATATGAAAATAAAGTAAGTCCGTTAGAAAATAAAATAAATAAATACAAATATATTTATATAAATATATATGGGGCCCCGCAAAATTCGGCACCGGACCCCGATGTTTTGAACTCATGTTTCCTCGTCACGACCAAACCACCTTAATCTGATCTCTCTCGTCTTATCAACGCCTGGATTTTACCTCTCCAAAACCCGTTCCTTGCTCTACGTATATCCTCTCTATATAATGACTCTGCTATTCCAACTAATCAAACGATATTATCATCTCCGCTATACTCATCTTCTGTTCTATCTTTCTGTACACTATCCAACATTCTGTACCTACCATACAAAATAATCGGTTTCTAATAAAATAACCACTGTATATTATTATTCGTTTCAGATTCGCTTTTCGAACCAACACCACCCAAATATAAATACAGCTTCCGCGATGACGTGTCAACTAAGTACGACGGCGCAAATTATTATCATGTCGGAAATTATGCGAAAATATTATACCTACTTTTTATTATTTCGTTTTATAAGTACCTCTGACTTCTCCGAGTATACTAACAGTCTTTTTTTTTTAATATTAGTACATACATGACATCTCTAGTTCAATTTAGCATTAAAATAATATACCTAATATTTATGTTAACTTCGCTTTAAACGATTTTGCCTTTATATTATATAATATTTGGTTTGTTTTTAATTTTTTGTTTTTTGTATGTAAACTATATATCAAAGAGCACCGATAATAATATTATTAAAATTCTACACGTGCACGTATTATAATTATATGTTCTTATAGTCAAAATGGAGTAAATGTCAAAATCACGTAACTGTTCATGTACCTATATAGAAAATTATTAACTATAATATCAAACAATAATTTTGAAATAACAAGAATTGTTACTTCTGTATACGGTCAGTAGTGATGTGAAGACTTTTGTTTACCACGAAATGTTCCAGTAAAATTGTAAAAAATCTCACATAACCCAAGCCCGGAAAAAAATCAGGAGCTCTAACTAGACGTTCCAAAACTTCAATTTTTTCCATTAACTTTATCTGATAATAAAGTGTTACACATACGCCCACACCCACCCATCTAATTTGGTCATGAAGCGGCTGCTTCTTATTAAATACCTATACCCATTAATCCCACCACGCCACCGTGTACGGTGTCTGCTTAAAATAATAATATATAATATAATACGTTAATGTTCACTCGACTAGTATTATTATTATTATTATTATTATTATTATTATTATTATTACATTTAAGTATATACTTATAGGTACGAATTTTTTTTCCTAATGTTAAGTAATACATATCATTACGTTTAAATCCATAACGGTTAGACCATTATGTATCCAAATTTATACATTATTATACTATAATATTATAATTATATTCATGTATGTCTGTACTTAAACATATATATATCATAATATTATACCCACTTAGTATAAATTATATACATATATATATATAAAAAAACAAATTGTGTGGTCTAATATTTTAGTCTAATACCTAAGTTTAATAAATTATTTGGCAATATATTATTTTATCTTGATAAAAATACATGTAACTATATTATTATCTACATTTAATTTCCCCTACTATGCATGTCTATTGCTATTGAATAACACCACAAAAAGTTCCATTTTAATCCGTCAATTCAGGTAGGCCTTTTAAAACAAATCTTTTAAGTGTTCAATGTTCGTGTTTGAATAAAAGAATTTCAAAAGAAGTTTCCAGTTTGTTTGTTGTTAACGCAACAGGCGATAAGTAGCGCCGCGATTGACCTATATCAATACCTAATTATATTAAATAATAATAATAAAAAAAATTTTAGGTTTTCATTTTAAAATATTGTATACGACTTATGTAATTGTTTGAATTATTGCCTTCACCATAAGCTCAACTTATAGAAATTAGATAATTTATGTAAAAAAATATGTTATTTTTGTAATAAAATGTTAACTTAAATAAATAATAATAAAGAACCGATATTGGGGATGGGTGTGCCTCTGGTTTAATTGAAAAATTGATAAGGGAGAGTAAAAAAAGTTATTTAATTTCTATTTGTAAGCAACATTACCTATACCATTGCTAACGAAAAATGATTCGGACCGAAGTTCGGCTGCACATGTTTTGAAAAGCTGTAATATTTACTGTTTTCGTCAAAATTTGATATTAAATCTTATAAAAAAAAAAAATACTACATAATACTAATTTTTTATTTTTTTTACCACTAAGTACAACTTATAATTGAACCTTTTGTTAAATTATTCGGTGCATACGAATTGCGTCCCGATGATATTTAACCATTACGCGAATTGTGTCCTAACGATATTTGACCACTACACGAATTGCGTCCCAACGTAAAAACATTATTTTCCTTCCCATTTTATATAGACTTAGAACTGTCAATAGCAAATTATTACTATCGGTAGGTTAAAAATATTGATTTTTGTCGTTTTTATGCAATTAGAAGTAATGTAATATAATAATTATAATAAAAAAAATATATAAATATAAAGTATAAAAATTAAAAGACTGTTAAAAACTTGAACAATACATTTTTAATATAATCAAGACGAGTCAATTGGCCATTTTCATATTTTGTCTAAAACAATCTTCTTTTTCACACACCATCCATCCGTTTTTAATTACATAAATTAACAATTGTTTAATATAATGTTTCTATTTTACATTTTTTAATACATCAATGAATTTGAATATATTCGGATGTGCTGAGTAAAACATACTATTAAACTTGGAGTAGAAGGCTTCACAACTATTCGTAGTTCAAGTAATGGAACATGAATACATTGCCGACACAAAAATTAAAAATAATATAATATGGAAAATATAGTTTTCGGATTTTCAGATATTATGTAATCATTTAGTTAAAGCCGGACTCAATTTGTTTGCCCACTTATAAATTATTTTATTTCGGAACGCAATTCGTGTGCAGCCGAATTGTTAAGCATTTCTGTTTAGTCTAAAAATTGTATCCACAGAGTACATACTGAATAAAAATTACGTAAAAAGCTCGCAAAATAAAAATGTCTATAAATAGCTTAAATATTTTTAAAATTTTACCACGTTTAGAAAAGGCAAATATAATTTTTCTGTCCAAATTTCAAGTCCCTACGAATATTTGTAATTGAATTAGATATAACAAAAAAACAAAATTAAAAATAATGAAATCAATAATTATAAATCGTAAACTTTCCCGTTGTGTTTACGTTTTTTCCAGTTTGCTCAATTATTAAGAAAACTACACACAAAAAAACCATTTTCATAATCACCAACTATATCCAAAATGCGACTTAAGAGATCACTTGTCATTTTTCGATTAAAGAAAGATTTCTAGTAGAAACTTAAGTTACAAAAATTTTAAATCATGATTTCTATACATTTCTGACATTTTGTACATAGTATACAAAAAAATTAAAAATAATAAACATCATATTAAAACCAATATATTCCTCGCTATGCTAAGTCTACCATAAAAATTGACAATGCCATTCACTCATTAACTTTTTCAATTCAAGATTTTGATCTTGCTGCTGTTATCAATTACACTCCACTTTCAAATTTTCAAATAGTACAAAAATTCCTACTCATATCTTGCACTTATTGCGAAAAAACGCAGGGCCAGAGCCTAGTGGTAAAGGTCCAAATATCCCTCAAATCCATAGACACCGACTTTTATAAACACTTGAACTAATGTACATAGTATTTTTTATACACAAAAGCAAAATACTATTTGTACGTTTTACGTCCTTTATAATTAAAGTACGGAGGCGATTGCCTCCGTTGGCCCCATGAAGTCGGCGCCTATCCTGGGATCTCCTTAAAGTAGGTACCAATTTGATAAAAATTTCTTTCCAGAAAAATTTCTATACTTTAATACTTGATACATTGGAGCAAGATTTCTGCTAGAAAAGTTACCCACAGACTACAGCATAAAAAAAAATAAACATCACTGTAAAACCAATACATTCCTTGTTTCGCTTAGAATCTAAAACATTAAACAATTACAATATTTATATTATGTATAAGTAATAACAATTTATAATTAATGGTAATAATATAAATTAATGTAGAACATAAAAATTAACTGAATTACACTTAAATTAAATTTCCCGCACAAAAAAAAAAATTATTTTTTTGATTGGTTCAACTGTGGTTATGTACATTGATATTGCTGGCGATAGTTAACAGCAATCGTAGTTCCGATCACGGACTTACCTTAGGTTATTATATCTTAGTCCGTGGTTTCGATAACGAAGTGCCATACCACGGTCTTGTAACCATTGATAATACATTTTTCTTATCATTATCTATGATTAAAACTATTAACTACCTTGATAAGCAGTAAGCACAATATGGCAAATGTGAAACGTCCTACAGCAAACAAAATTTGAAATGATATGGAAGAGTCAAGATAACAGTTTTAGAAATTTGTTAAGTTTTGAATGAAAGTTTAATTATTACCAAATAAAATAATTTTTTTATGCAATATTATTTTTTATCTAACATAAAATAATTTAATATTAATCGCGTTAAAAATGTTTTACATCTCGATTACGAACGAACTAAACTTGTTTGGGATCGCATTAAATATAAAACTCGGAAAAAATAGTGATTTTTATCTTAAAATAGACGCATGTTATGTCATTCAATAGTAGATATACTGCAACATATCAAAATAAACTTGAACGTTTATACGATTATGATACAATAAAACTTCCATATAAAGGGTCACTGAAGGGACTGGAAATAATGACCGCTATTTAGAGGTGACCATCCTTTAGAAGTATCTTATAAAGGCATAACAATTGACAGGACCAAAAAAAATTACCATTTCATAGAAGTGACCGTTAATGGAAGTTTTACTGTATGATGTTGATGATTTAACATGGTTTCTACAGTGGAATTACCCTGGCAGTTCTCAGATATTATAAAAACTAATAACAGTTCAATATCCAATTATGACAAAAACCAAAAAGGTTTGTAGATTGTTTACTAGGATGCAAACAGTTTGTAAGTTACATAAAATTATTTAAATTTTTCTTAATTATTAAAAAAATCCTTTATTTTAGATATGGTTATACTACTATGTATGATTACTTGGCCAAATATGGGTTTCACTGCTATTCTGGAGTGCAGACTATATAACTGATTTATTAAAATAATATATGGATAAAAAATCAGATACCGATCATTACACGATAATCATGATGACTTACTGTATTTACTGGAGAAGCTTATTCTACTGGTTGGCAAAATTTCTTAAACTTAATGCTTATTTACAGAATAAAGAAAAAAAGAAGCATGTTGTATATTATACTACACTAAAATAGGCCATGGATGATGATTAACGGTTGGAAAAATTACATAGAATAATAAAATTCAACTAATCACCATATCAAAGTTATATCTACCTCAATACTGAAAAAATAGAGCTTGCTCAAACCAATTTTCATAAAGATTTTTATATTTTTTATTGAATGAATAATTTTATATTTGGTAAAAATAATCATTTTCCAGCTTTAAGAAAACTTTAATAATTTAAATTTACTATGTTACAGGTAAAATAATGGAAAATATAAGCTTGCACATGAAAATGAAACTTGATTTTTGTCTAAAAAAAGTGTTCCAAATTGATAAACAAATCACACTAAGTCTTATATATGATTTATATGATCTATATGATTTATAAAAAGAGAACTCAAAACATAAACTTAAAGCAATACACTTACTCAAAGACATTGTTGAATTTAACAAGCCTATATTTGTGTAATTTTCAGTGTATTATGGATATTTCAAAAATCTTATGTTTGATTTCCTTTATAAAAAACAAAGAAAATATATTTGTTGAATATTATATATTATAGTATAGTTCATAAAATATTAAACAACGTCAAACTGCTTTATAGTTTCAGGTAAATAAAATATTATTTATTTATCATGTAATAATGTCATCATATTATTAGCAAATATTTTTATTTTTTTTAGATTCCCTGATATTTTAATTAGAAGATAGAACAAGTGATTTTTACAAAGATGTGACAAACTAGGACGGTTTTCTTGACAAATAAGATATATCAAACTTTTCTGTTGATTATCTATGCTTTAATATTATCTGTAATAAGAAACCTGGACAGTGATGAAGCAGGATCAAAATCTGTTTGAGAGCATATAGCTTTGAGGAAAATATCATACAGCTTAGTGGAAACAGAAGTAATAAAGGCCCATCCAACTCCAAAAATCATTAATTATTTTATTACCATAATAAATAGAATACAAGTTATAATTATCTTGTCACATGCTTAAGCTATTGCCAAATATACTCGAAGATAAAAAAAAAAGTACTCATTAATAGTGATGGACAATTTATTATTAAGTAGGATAACATAATGCCATTACGCAAGATGCAGGAAAGTAGAGGATCGTATGCAACAAATAAACTTAAAAATCCAATATTAATACTATAGAAATTAAATGAATGTTCATTTGACAGCTAAACCATAAGTTCAAATGTGAATTTCAGGAAAAGCTAGAGTTAATGAAAAATGTTTAACCGACTGCAGAATTTTGTCAATACACAAATAATTTTGATTTATTAAACTGTTGAAATAAATTTTGCAAAAGAGATTATGATTTTACCATAAATGAAGAAACTGTTCTAAAGGTTTAAAAAATTCCTTGACAAATTAAAATCAGAAGGAAAACTGATATTAAAAAGCCAAAGAAAAACTGAGTTTTTAGATCTCATCATATATCTTAATTACTAATACAATACATTTTATTTGAAGTTTTAATAAAAGAAAAATGGAATTTGTCTCACTTATAAGTAGACTTAGGAACTTCTAGCAATTGCATATTTTTTCTGAATTATGTAAAAAGTAGCAGTGAAATATAAATCTTGTTCATGTTATATAGAATCTAAATCCAAAATTTAATTGGAATAATTAATTAAAATCATTTTTTTTTTTTCTTATAAGATCATCTATTAGCAGAATGCAGCTTTTAAGTGCTATAACAAGCCATTTATGAAGACATCAATTTATAAAGATGATTTCTCAATCATGCCTATTGCCGATAAGGCCTGGTTTTACCACCGATTAGATAAATGGTAAATGAGACCAATTGTATAGTTTGTATAAACAACGTTCCATTATTTTATAAAATTGCTGTGTTAGTCAACCACTGTCTATCGTCATTATTTGTGTTGTTAAAATACCAAAGGTACAACAATCGACAAGTAGCTGTTAACAAATTTTTGTTACCGATTTTAAAGACGTGTTTTCATCTGACGGACATGTTTTACTGTATGTAAACTCTATGAAATAAAAGTGAAAAGTGACAAGCGATTTAATATTAAACAACATCTAAACACTGGAAAACATTACAGTAGTACGGCGGAATGAAAATAAAAATAACAAGGTAACAACAATTAGTTACAAATACAAACTAGGGGAAAAAGAATTTTTTTAATCAAAATTTATGTAGAGCTTTGCTTTCATCAAATATTCTCTAATTAAGTTGTCGAATAACAAGTTCAAAATGTTTTTAGAAAAATATTATGCTCCATTGTATTGTTGTGAACACTGCGGAAATTCGATCAGTTGTGAAAACATTTGACGAAAATGGCACTGTATCAATTCGTATAGCAAAAAAAATATTTAGTAAATAACAATCTACCATATAACTTAGCATTTATAAAATCTAACTTTGGATTTTTACCGGAGTCCATAACATTTTTGGAAAAATATGTAATCACTATCTGATTCATCTAGTGTTATAGAAAATACACAAAATAAATTAAGTGAGTTAAAATGTTTAAAAGGTAAAACACTCGCAATAAAGTTCAATGATGTTTTAAACAAAAATTCCGGTTTAAGAATTGTATCAAACATTTCTAAAATTTTAAAAGGCGAAGTTGATGACATAGATGAAATACCTGAAGATCTAACAAATGATGATCTAGTATTCTTTAAGTATGTGCCACTTTCTTCCGTCTATGTGGAACAAAGCTTTTTAAAATATAAAAATATAAAATAAAGTTTTTGTATTTCAGACCCATAATCAAGCATTGAGTTTGATCAATAAACTCAATCAAATCAATCAATTGAAACACATTTTTTTTATGCAAATATCATTAATTCATTAACAAATATTAACAATTAGCGAGCTAAAGAACAGATGTAGATGCCACTCAGTGAAAGAAATACAAATTCCAACTGGCCAATAGTAGAAAATTTGACAATTTTTTAAATTGAAAATGAAGACAGATTATTTGTACCCAGGTATTAGGTGATAATAAATATAACATCATCGATAATAATTTGGTATTAGATCTACCAGTTGGCGCGACGTGGTGTAGCGATAAGTTCCGTTTAATGTTGTTGGATTATTGTATCTCATACAGTACTACAGTATTTCGTTTATATCTGTACATTGTCACGCGTTATGTGTATTCAAAGAAAAATAAATGTTTTCAATTATTAAAATAGACAAACCCATGTTGACTTTAAAATGTATGATTTTAATTTAAATTTATTTTTCGGATTGAAATACATAGATAATTTAGATCTTTATTAATTGAGTTATTAAGTAGTTGTTTTCAAAAGTTATTGTTATTAATTTATTAATTTTACTTAAATAAAACAACACATATTTTTAGAGCATCCTAGAGATTTGATTTTTTTTAGATTCTGAGTGAAGTGATAAATATATTATTTTCTATCAGAAAGCTTACTCTAATGTATACTATGTAGACACTTTTCTAAATGAAAATTTTCTTGTGGTGGTACCTTAAGGAGATAATTTTTTGAATTCTCAAGAGTTTTCTCAACAAATGGGAAAAAAAGGAAAATGTACAAAATGTAAGTATTAGTTGATAAATATTTTAAGTCTATATGTTAAAAAAAAATTTGAGTATAATATATTATTTTTTTTAGGAATTTTAATTTCAAATTTTGATGAATACTGTTTGAGTAAAAAATTCTGTGGAACAGATCTAATTTTTCAATTTTAGATTCTGAGTGTAGCGAAGAATTATTGGTTTTACAAAGATGTTCATTTTTTATTATTTATATGAACACTACCAGTGAGTTTACTCTAATATATGTGATGTAGACTCGTTAATCTGGACTTAAATCTCAACTAATGTCACATCATGTCTTTTTCCAGGAAACATTCACCTATTCTTCATTCATTTTCCCTGGGCTATTCTTCTCCCAATCATGATGATAGGATCAAAAATCTTGGTTTTTATTTGTCAACACTCTCCTTCAGGCACCATATAAATGTTACTGTTGGGCGTGCTCTAAAGATCTTTGGTTTCATAAAATACAATTCTTCTCTTTTCTCCTCTGCCTCCTGTCTTCGTTCTTTATATTGCTGCCTGGTGCAGTCGATCCTGAAGTAAGGGATCACCATTTGGGCCACCCCTACCTGGGGTGTGACCAGCTGCGCATCGAATGAGTCCAGAACCGTTATTTTTCGTTTGCAGCCCATCAACTGAAGATTGCTCACCTACCACATGACTAGGACTGCGTCCACTCCTTTCTCAGTCTCCCTACTCTTCCTCTCACCTATTCAATGCTGACCTTATTTTTATCTTCTCTCTTCTTGATGGTACTGTCAATGCTCCTGACTTACAAGAAAATGTCTCTTTCCGCGTACCCTCACACTACACTCGATATCACTACCTCTTCTCTATTACTGTACACCTCACGTTTTATAGCCAAAATCAACCTCTCCATAAGATGTTGCATCATTTCAATCATACTAAGACCTGACCTCTTCTTATCACTGTAATTTAACTGTTTGTAATAATTATTGTTCTCTTACCATTGCCCTCGGGGAATTCACATGTTTAAATAAATAAATAATCATAATCAGAAGTTAAATAAGGGTATTTTTTGATTATTATTATTATTAATGGTTGTTATAAGTATGCTGATTATTATTATTATTAAAATGCACATTATTATTATTATTTAAGTGATCATTATATTTATTACTAACTATTATGCTGATTATTGTTATGATTTTTAAAGTACTCATTATTATTATTGTTACTACCATCATTATGATGAGCGAAGAAGCTTATGGTTTTACAAAAATATTAATTTTTTTGTATGGTTTTTCACAATTGTTGATCAAATTAATAATGATAACTATCAAAAAAATTCTTCCAAGTTGTTTCAGCTAAAAATAGAGAGAATTTAACAAACGTATCTTTTAATGCTCAACAAATTTTAGTGACTTAATATATTATAACCAGAGTATGTAATCAAGATCTATTGAGAAAAAAAATTTAAATTAATATTTTCATTAAAAACATTAAACAAATTAAATTCTGACAATACAATGTTCAATTCAAAAGAAATTAAACGGCACAAACTACAACAAGATCCGTTAGATAATCACCCTAGCTCTAAAATCATCCAGCTACTAAAATTAATAGTGTATTTTATTTTCTTACGACTTAAATATTATGCGAAATCACGTAGGTACCTTTACAATTAGTGATCGGAACTTTTTAAAACTTTAAAAACTGCCATTTTTAAATTTGTATAAAATTTATATTTTAGGTGAAAATATACGTATCGACTCTATGAACTTAAAATTCGGTCAGACAATTTATATTTGCTTCTTCTAGACGTGGTAAAGTTTTCAAAAAATTTAAACCATATTTATACAATTTTAATTTTGCGAGTTTTGTACCAAATTTTATTCGGTAGGTACTCTGTGGTAAAATTGTTACACTTAATAGAAATGCTTGAAAATTTAACAGGGTAAATCTTAAATTAAATTTTACTTTTGTGATAAAAAAAAATTGAGTTTAATGTAGTATTTTTTTTTATAAAGAAATTTTAACAAAAATCGTTCGAGTAAAAAATGGAACAAATCTATTTTTCAATCTTTTTTTTTTTTTTTTGAACATATGTTTATTGCCAATTTAAAAATTTATAAATATAATATTACAAAATATGTAAATATTTTTCATTTCATAAGATGAATTTCAATGCATATCTGTTATCTACAAATATAATGGGTACACATATAATATTTCGCAAGTGAAATATAATTCAACTAATTTGAAATGATTTGAAATTGATTTGTTTGAAACATAGAAAAAAATATAACCGCATAATTTGTAAATACTTGTTCGTGAATATATTAATATTATATTTAGGTAAGTACTGATAATAATTTAATTTATATAAATATGTAAGAATTATTCGTGCATATTTCAATTACAAATAATTGAATGTAAAGTATGGGTGACGCTATTATTGTATTTCGTATCTAATTAAAACTAATCTATTATGTTAAAATGCATACGTTTAGTTTTTATTTATTTTTAATTATTACTTGCGCATCATTCGTGTACTCGTACAAAGTTAATAACGCCTTAAATTAAATACCTTTGTTTAAATAATATGTATGTTCTTTTTTTCTAGGGATATAATTAAGTAACTTAACTTGGGTAGTTGGGTTTAAGTATCTTAACATTTTTTATGTACTCTATTCAATTTCTATCGGAGTGTACCGATTGCTCTATTAATATTAAAAACACATATAGTAATATGTGTTTTTTTATGTGTAGACAACTTTTTAACCAAAAAACTTACTTCAATCGAAATGTGACAAGTGACTTTTTTCGAAGCATTTTGGATCTAGTTTTGCATTAGACAGGTCAATTTCTAATTTTCGAAGACGTTTTCAAAATAGTCAGGAAAGCCTGGAAACAAAATTATAAGAAAAATGGGAAATGAGTTTGTGAGTAAGTCGTTTTTAGATTTTCCGTATACTTTTTTAATAATTGGGCAAAACGGGAAAAAGCGTTAAAACAACGGGAAAATTTACGGAAACAATGGTTTCATAATTTTCAAATTTGTTTTTTCGTTGAACCTTATACAAATAAAAATATTACCGGAGACTTGAAATTTGCACAGAAAACGTATATTTGTCTTTTCTAGACGTGATCAAATTTTTAAAACATTCGAGCCATTTTTAAGGTGTTTATAAACAATTTTAATTTCATTCGATTTGTATGTAGTTTTTATGTGGTAGGTACCTACGTAGATACAATTTTTTGACCAAACAGAATGCTTGAGAATTGAAAACGAAGTTTATTATATAAGTTGTACTTCAAGGTAAAAAAAAAAAGTAGAATGTATTTTCGTATTTTTTTTTTTGTTTTGTACACAATTCGCTGCGGCAGCGGTCACGGAGCGTGGACGGGCGAATACAATTTTTGCACCAGTTGGGCATGCACATTTGACCGTTTCGGTGCCACTACTGGCATAACTACCGTTAGACTTGAGCGGTGTGTTGGTGCACAAACAAATATTGTGCCGCCGCTGACGGTGAATCCATTGCGAACTGATTATTTCTTTTTGATAACATCAAATTTGTCCGGCGGACGGCGTTATCTATATATATGTCCAATAGAAAATACTGACCGACCCGGTTTACATTCAATATTCCTAAATAATATTATTTAATGTGTAACGTAACAAAAACAAACACGCCAATTCCATGATATATTGTAGATTTCTGTCTAAGAACCTCATGTATAAAAATAATACAAATATATTCGTATTTCAATAAAATATTTGTTTTAGTTCCTGTTTTCTGAATCGACTGTACTTGTTGTATACAATTGTTTAAATGTGCATCACCTATTATTTATTTTACCCGCGATCCGCCACTGGTCAAATGTGAATCAACCAAAACCTCCGCGAAATATAATTCATTTTAGACAAATAAAAAATGAATAATACATTCAAAAATACATTCATGGGCATTTAACTAGATTCGAGTTTGTCAAAAAAATCTCTTTTTCGTATGGTAAATATTGAATGTGTACTTTTTATATAATTTTAATTTTTATAATAATGTATTATTTGGACGACAAACTCGTGATGTTTATGTTTGTGTTAATTTTCCGGAAAAACATTGTTTTTCAGGAATTATTATTTGTAAATTTCATAGCTTTCCCATTTTTTTCATGGATTTTAGCACAACCCTGTTTATATTCGAAATTATAATGTTTTTTTTTTTTTTTCAAAAGGCTTTTTCCGGCATTTTGATTACTAAAAGATATCTAAGCTTGAATTCTCAGAATAATGAAATGAATAAACCTCATATTAAAACATATACACTAATAAATCAGCTATCAATATCGCATTGTCAGACTTCGGTAACTACATTTAACAGCAGAATATGTATTAAAAACCTAGTAGATGATTGGAGTTCTCTCTGAAGTTAATGATATCATAGCAAGATTTCTGGAAGAAAAGTTGTTGAAAAACAAAATACGTAGGTTTAGTTAAATCATGTACTATGTTACAAACTATGACTTATGAGTTATTATTACTAATTATATTAGTAGTAACTAATAATAATTCAGTTTCTATGTAGGTACTTATAATAACTACAGAGATTTACTTATTATTGTAATCAAAACAGTTAGAATTATTTATAATCATGGGAAAAATGATATAATAATAACAATGGTGATATTAAAATCTTTGGAAAACAATACTAAACAGATTAAACAATAGGACCAACATTTCTAAAAATATTTGCCAATTAATAACAAAACCTTTAAGATAATGCAATTAAAGTATTCCTAATTTTGTTTAAACTTATTTTCATTAATTTACTTTGGTAGAGAACATTTCTGTAAGCAATATTTCAATAAGAGTTATTTCAAAGAAAATTTCCATAAATTAAATTAAAAAATATCACATTAATTAGAGTATTTATTTTATTTTATTATTAATAATTTTGAAACTGATAAATTCACAAGTGCTATTAAGGATCATTGTTTTTTTTTTTTATAAATATAAATAGTATCACTAATAAATATTAAAAAAGACCTATTTCAAAACTATTGACAATATTATATAATGCAATTATTGGGATATTTTTCCAACTGCATTCAAAAAAGTTATTGTTATTTCATAACTTAAATCTGGTGACAAAACTTTATAAATATGGATAATTTAAAACATGGAATACATATATTAGAATTATTTAATATAGAGCGTAATAGAGTATAATGTATTATAGAGCGATTAGAATGTATTCAAAAAAATATAAAATTACAATATTTTTGTTTTAGTTTTTTTTACAAACTATAATTTTAACCGAATAATTCCATATCATAAAAAATACATTATTAATAATATTACAACCTCTATTTAACAAACTTGATGGTTTTTTGAAAAAAAATGTATTAAATAGTAATTTCATTAAAAAGATATATGTAATAATTGTCTTTACTTAAAATCTAATTTTTAAACACTGATAGAATGTTTACTTATACACTTAACTTAATAAAAAAATTGCATTCTTTATTGAAAAACTTTGAGATATTTTGTATATTTTTTTTTTTTTTAATCATTTACAAGAATATTTTTCTGGTGAAAGGGTATAGGTTTAATAAACAACATTTTTGAATTATGTAAATGACCTTTGAAGTACCAATAGATTTCATTATGTGACATTATTCTTTTGTTCATTAATCTTGACAATCACAGGAATGTACCATTATAAATGATTCTATACTTGATGATCGTGATATAGACATATCACTTAGTTGGAATTGTGTGTCATTTATAACATTTTCGAAATCCATTTTGATTTCATCCACTTCATCAACCTAAATTTATAAAAAAATATCATTAAGACCTTTCATGGCATAGTAGAAAATTACATAAAATTACCCATTATTATTATTATGTTTGTTTATCACATAATAACATTTGAATTCATAAATACCTCCATGGTTTTGAATAGGTACTATTTTCTTATTCATTAATCAAAGGAATTATTTTTCAAAGCTATCTACTAAATCAGCGGTTCCCAACCCATGGGCCGCGGCCCACTTGTGGGGCGCGAGCAGCATGGTACTGGGCCGCGAGCCATAGGTATAATATTAAATATTATATATATTTAAAATAATGTTATTATATATTTTTTGTTATATTTCTAATCATAATAATATTTAATCAATTTTAACTATAGTGTACAATTAGTGCCATTGTGGTTAAATGTTCGGAAAGACTATCCAGCAATCGCTAAAATTGCACTGAGAAACTTGATGGGCTTTTCGACAACTTATTTATGTGAACGTGCTTTTTCTACTTTAATTTATTTAAAAAATAAATATAGGAATAAACTGAATGTTGAGAGTGATTTAAGACTNTTTTTAATAACAATTGTTTTTTTTTAATTTTTAAAATTTTTTATTCCTAATAACTATATATACATGTATATAATATATATTATATATTATAATTTTATGAAAACGTATATAGGTATGCTATGGGTGGGCCTCAAATATTTTTTTACAAAATTAGTGGTCCGCGAAACTAAAAAGGTTAGAAACCGCTGTACTAAATGTTTAATCTTAAAAATACACATGTGTCTGTGTTCTTATATTTAATATAGAAATTTAGAATCTCATTTATTTTTACAATTTTTCATAACTGTTATCAAATTTGTATTTTAGAAATAAGTAATGTACTAATTACTTATAATTAAGGATCAATTGAAGTCAAACATTAATTTCTGAACTTTGAACTAAATAGGCTCATCAAAAAAATTGTAATACATTTTTAATAATAGAAAAAAAATGGTTATTGATTTATTTATGTATAGTTTTATTAAGCTTATATGTGTATACAATTTTTATTTGCTTATTTGTATTTATAATAAGATAGGTATTAATTTTTACAAATTCTAGTTTAGTTGTTGAATCCAGGTATATGACAGAGGGGGCGAGAGCCCCCAGGAATTTCATTTGCCCCTCTGTTAAATTTGGATAAATTAAGAAGGTAGATAGCAAAAAAAAGGTTATAACTATAATTTAAGTAATGCCCCCTTTCCCCAGAAAAATTGTCTGGATTCAACACTGCCTATACATTTTGACATGGTGTCACTAAAACACAAATTGCCTTGATCACATTACTTACCCAACACCACTGGTGGTCTTATATACCTATTCCATCTATTAGTAAAGATCTATGTATCAAATGAACATTTTAATAAATTATTGTAATACAAAATTAGAACATATAATCATGCACTGTAGAAGAACCCAGAAATATGAAATGGAAAGATAATAATTGATGAAACTCTGTTCTTAAAAAATCAAATCATAACTAAAATTAACCTATATTATATCTATATTAAACCTATATAATTTAAATTTTAATTAGCTTATATTTATAGCAACACCGACTAAAAGTATAGGCTTAGATAAAATGTGTGCTAAAACAATAATTCTAATAAAATAAAAAAAAAAAAATTGTTTGTAAATTTAAACTAATAATTTAAAAAACTAAACAAATTTCGAAAACCCACCTTTACATATGAAATAACTTGTTTTGTGAATAAAAATGAAAAAAATATTTTCAAGAGTGATTATACATAAATTATCAATTAATGATTATTAAATTGATATAAATTACCTCAGTTGCATTCGATGTGAATGTCATATCAGCACTGGTTATTGGTATTCCTGATGTTTCAGATTCATCGGGTATATGAAACAATACTAAAGGAACTTCTTTCCCAGTAAGCGTGCTACAATGAATATTTTATTCTGTTAATGTATCTTGAAAATTTTCATATTTATTAGAACTTGCCTGTATGGTTGGTATGATGAATCACATATGAAATAGCCTTTACGTTGTAATTGAATAATTCGCCCTTTTCCAATAAATTTTAGTTCATAACTACCCCACATTTGAAATTCACGACGACTGGTTTCTGTTATAAATTGTTTGAAATCATCATCCTTTGTTAAATTTGGTTTATTGATCAGATGATCAAAATACACACAAACTACTGGTATCAGACTAGGTAAAATTTGATCTGAATCTACTGTACTAATAATTGGCAACCAAGTTATTTTAAATGTGGGTTTTAAATCTATATTTTCAAAATCAAATTTTGCATGTACTTTCTCTATTTTATCACTATCAGGATTCCTATAAACATATAAATACTCAATTATTTACTGTAAGAGGTTCTTTTACAAGGGTGTACAGTATATGTATGTCATAGGTGTATAGCCAAATCAGGCATTTTACCAATTGTCTAGGCAAATAGTTATAATTTTTATATAATTTTATTATCTGCCTAGACATTAAGTTAAACGTCTAAATGCCTATTTCAAGTCGGGCAAGTAATAGAAATGATATTTATCATCTCATTTTAAAAACTAAACTATATTTTCTTAGTTTGCTACAGCTTCACGTATGGATACAAATTTATCTTTGGGTATTCTATTATCTTCTAAACCATTATTTGAAACTAGATTTAATTTCTTCTCCGAAACACCGATTTTTGATTACACCAACTGTTATGATTTAGTGAACTTGGTAGCAGATATTATTCATATTGGAATATTTTTTCAAAAATGTATTAAAATTTAAAATATACAAGAAAATAGGCCGGTCACATTATTACAATTGCATACATAGTACACATGTAATTCAATTATGTTCTGTATTTTATCAGTGAAGTCATATTTTGGCGTTAATGAGAAAATTATAATTTGTCTGGTGTTCAATATAGATAAGATATAATAAAATAATACATTTCAAAACTAAAAAAAACTGTGGAACTATTATTTTTATATTCTTGGATTAAATAATATTAATGTGAAAATTTAGTTTAGTTTTTAAAATAATATAAAAATGTTTTATTTTTATTATTTGCTTAACTTAAAATAGACTTTTAGTTAAACATCTAGACATTTAATAAAATTACTTAGTATTTAACTAAATGTCTGGATGAATAGTAAAATCTCATAACAATTAAATTTGTTGACTATTTGCCCAGGCAATCAGTAAAATGCCTAATTTAACTATATGCCTACGACATGTATATCAATGCCTTTATCATTAAAATAATAATTTGAATAAAAAAATAATTACATTTCAATCAGGTCAATTAAAATGGTTCCCCAATTAATTAATGTAACTCGTCCACCAACTTCTAGTAACTCCGCATCACGATAATCAATAATAATTTTGGGTGAGCCCCATAAAAACAGTAAGTTAACATTTTTCGGATGCTGTAGTGCATTGGTTAGTCTATACGGTTTTTCGACATTATTCAATAAAACTTCAACTGGATTATTTGAAAATATTAAGTTTTTATTAGTTGAATTGGCTCTCAATAATGCAGTATGCTTGGATGTTTTATTGTCTATTATCATTTGATTTATCGACCAAATGGTATCCCATTGTAGAAGTGGTCTAACTTTTTGAGAAGATCCTTGTAAAACTACAAATTTATGAAAAGCTTTCCTTTTCAATCCTCTTCTAAACAAACCACGAACAGTAGGCATACGAGGATCGTTCCTTAAAAAAAAATATATATTAGATACTTAAACTGTCATAATGATAAATTATTACAAAATGGAAATCCTAAGTACTTGAGCACAAATGGCAGTTCTCTTAAAACTGATAACCAAAAAAATGTTTATCATTTCAGATTGATCAACACTTTAACCTAAAATCTCTAGACCGTTACCATAATGATAATTGTATTTTATGTTAAAATAATCATTTATTATATTATACATTTTGGTGAATGTGAGTAAACTTAAGAAAATAATGAGAAAAACTATTAATAAACTAAATATAAAACTTTTGTGCCTTTCCAATCAAAATTATTAGATACAGAAATTCTTTGGTACAAACAAGAGTAAATTTATCCTTGAAAATCAAACCGGTGTGAATTTGAGAAATTTTTTGGAGAAATTAACGACACTCGTTCAATTTATCTGCACCATATGCATATGGTGCAAACTATTAAAACCGGTTTTATTCCCTCGAAATAATAAATTTAAAAAAAAAAGGATAACAATAATAATTTAATTGATAACAATTAATTCCTATTCATATAAACTTTTATTAAGTACTTATTAGCGGGAAATAGGAAATATGATAAACTAATAATTTAAATAATTGATTAATATTTAATTGATAGTATTATCATTGTTAATTTTGGATAATGGTGGGTATAAACCAATTTCCATCGTCGAATATCTATACTGGGGTAAAATAATCGGTATTCAAGTGTTAGTAAACCGGTACACCGGTTTATACCAACGAATTTCTAGTATGTTATTAATATAATTTTGTGACTATGTTAAGTCATGTTCAACCCGTATTTAGTATTTAGAAATTAATACCTACCACAAGTTATTACAATAATTAATGTACAATAAAAAGCGTAGTAATTTTTAGTTACTTATGAAAGTTTTATTAAACTATTTATTTAAATTTATTAATTTTAAACTGTAATAAATAATATGTATATTTAATAGTTATATATAAATTTTTAATTATAATACATTTTTCTTACCATCCATCAACGAGCCCTTGTTCAACAAACCAAGTGAGCTTTTCTTTTGAAAGAACAGTATTAGTCATATTTAGTCTTGAATATGATAATATGTAAGGCCTTGTTTCATTATACCATTTTCCAAGTTTTAATTTATCGTAAAACCAATAATATGGCTCATTATGGTCTGCGTAATCTGTTGTACGTAAACAATGTGTAATTCTTTCAAGACTATCCACAACTGCACAAGAAAAATTATATGTTGGATATACCCTGAAAGAAATATTTTTTTCTTAAAATAAATAAATGCACAAATTAATTTCTATAATTTGTATAAAAGAAAAAATAATGAAGTTTCCATAGATACAAATCAACATTTAGAAATAAGCTTTAAGTCAGTTTCGGATAATAACATTGTGTCACTGCATCAAAAAAAAAAATATATATTTATTTGCAATTATAATGATGATTATATTAAATATTTATTTATATATTGTTTTTCTTCTGGCTCTAATGACGTTACCAAACCACAATGTGTAGGTTATGTTATTTTGTTTAACGAAGTGTCATAATCTGTTAGGCTTATTTATCACTTAGAAACAAAGCATAAGGAATTTATTAACAAACTTATACATTTTGTTTATTAGAAAAATCAAAGAATAGACTGTCTAAAACAAATTCATGTTTAACACTTCTTAGGTAGATTACTCATTACTTAAAGCATTTTTTTATGGTAGCATTTCGTGTAGCTTAATCCAAAAACGATATATATCGGAGAAAGTTTAATAAAACCTTATTTACTTAATGTTACCAATGAGCTTTTAGGGCCTTCTGCTGCTAAAAAAATTATTGATTTAACTATAGGTAATCTAATGACGCAATTTCTAGAAGAATAAATGATCTTTCTGAGGACATTGAAGAATAAGTTATAAATTAAATTAAATTACCAAAATCATTTCTTTAATGAAATAACTGATATATCCCAAAAAGCTATTCCATTATTTTACATCCATTTTATTGATTATCATACATCAGAATTGTGTGAAGATTTATTATGTTGTGGTGAATTACCTGTGATAGAGAATGAAGTATTTAAACAATAAAATGCGTACATACAAAATGTTCACCTAAATTGGGAAAATTGTGTATCCTTTGCACTGATGGTGCAGCAAATATGACTGGAAATAATAGTAGTTTCAAAAATTAAACATGTAACAAATAAAGATTTTATTCATATACATTGTATTAAACATAGACAACATTTAATTGAGAAAAAATTTTACTAGATTTGAATGAAGTATCGATTGAAACTGTAAAAATTGTTTATTTTATTAAAAGTTATCCCTTAAATTCTAGATTATTTTCAATTTTACGTCACAAAATGGGATCTGAGCATTCTCATTTACTAATGCATGCAGTTGTTCTGCGATCAGAACTAAGAAAAAAGGAAAAAGTTTTTGATTTTTTGAGCTAAAACCCTAAATGATCCATAGTCCTACTTAATAAGTCCTCTGCTGACCCGTGACAACAATAAGTTTAAGAACCACTGATTTAGAATAATGTTGATTTAAGGAATCAAAAATCAATAGTTTTCAGTGAGAGTTGAGAAAAAAAAAATTATTTTAAGAAATTAGAAATGCCATTAAGCAATTGATTGTAAGAAATAATGTCAAATTTTCTATTTTAGTTTGTAAGTTGAGTTTAAATTCAATACAATATATCTAACCTGTTAACACATGTATATTAGGCTGGACTAGACAATTTATTTTTTTTTTCAAGTGTATAACTATTTATTATTTTTATTTATAAAGGAGTAATAATACCTATTTATTTTATTTTACAAAAAAAAATTTCAAATTTTCAAGCTGTAATTTTAAGTGAATTACACAATTTTTTATAAATTGTATAGTTAAAATTATCATTAATCAAAAAAGAAATCATCAGAATGTAATAAGGAATAAATTATGTTCTATAGTTGATAAGAAGAAAATCAATATTGACAAAGTTATTAGTTGTAAATCATAAAAGTTTACTAAATATTAATAAATCAACCGGAAATTGCTGTTGAAAAATTTATTCTGTATGCAATCTTTTGTGTTTCACTAATAATAACTGTCAGTATTGATTTATTCTTATTAACAGTATGATCTTTTTCTCTATATATTACGTTCTGATAATTTACCTTCTTTTCATTTTTTATCAAGATAAACAAACTGTAAAAAAAATAAAAAGCTTATAAATTGCGTTATTCACCTAAAAACGCTGTTCTTAAAATACCTGTACGAATAAAATATAAAGATATACGATCAAAAAAAAAAAAAATTTGAATGAATTGTGTTTGGTCACTCTGAGTGGATATTAATGAGGTAAAATATTTATTTATTTTTTCAATTATTAATAATTAAAAGCCTATGTACCTATTAATAATTTATTTACTTACTTGTAATTATCAGCTGTTCTAAAATGTAGTTTAGAATTACAGCGGTAAATAATAGGATCACGCATACAAAAGTTTACAGACGACATATCAATTTTTGCTCGAACACAATACATTTGACCAATCTCTGAACCTAATTTCATTTGATCCCATAGCTCAACATTTTTTTTAATCGCTAAAACACAAAGAAATAAAAGTTTTTATAAATTCAAACTGTTTCAGTTGGTTCTTAATGTTTTATTTGTAACTAATAAAGTAAAATGGTTTTCTTGTCTATAAACAATAAATTTAGAAATTTAGAACTCTTACAATTATTGCGATTAATAGATTCAATTTTTTGTTCACGCTCCAAACGTATGTTTTCCTTATCTGCATAATCTACAAAGGCATGTCCACTTTTTATTAAACTTTCACACATAACTATTATTTTGCGAAAATAATTTGAAGTATATGTAACCTTGTTAGGTTTAATTGTTAACATATTAATATCTTCTAGTATGATCTAGAACAACAAATTCAAAACAAAACATTTATAAATACCATATAGGTATTATGATTTAAAATTGTATTTTATAACACTTTTACAAAAGAACTATAATTTTCAATATCCAATATTTAAGTGTAAACGAGTGATAAATTATTTTACCTTTTCATAACCGATAGCTTTTTCAGGATTGCTATCATCAAAACGCATTATGAATTTACCCATAAAAGACTCTTGATAATATGCGTTTAATAGAGCTGTCTTGGCATGACCAATATGTAAATATCTGAAATATAGATTATATATTGATAAAATTTACTAACTATGAATAATTAAAATATTTTTATTTTAATTGCATACACATGCATACCTGTTAATTTGATCTAATAATAATAAATCAAAAAATTATGTAAAAATATACTAACCCACCAGCTTCTAGGGTAAATCGTACAACAACCTTTCCTATTACAGCTTCTGGTATTTTCACAAATGTACCCTGCTCTTCAACTAATAACTTAAAAGTGCATGGTTGTCTTATCATTTTTTTACTTGATTTATTGATATCTGATCCTAAATATATTAATATAATATTTTATATTATAATATTTAACACCTATAGAAACATTAACCTAACACTTAATTTTATTAAAGGTAAATTTTGTTTTGGAAAAATATTACATACTACTTAATTACAGACATATAACAAACATTTTAACAATTTTTAAAAAAATATATAATATTATATATTATAATTAATAATGTAATAATAATTACCTAAATAAAAAAATATGAATTTTTTTTGGAAGGAGTAATATTATATAGAATATTACCTACTTATTGAAATTAAGTAATTATAACTACAAATGAAATAATTGGTGTATACAGGAACAGTTCCCTAACTTTTTTGGTTCACGCATACCTAAGAATAAAAAATAACTGCACCTCCCATTAATAAATTAATTATAATTTTGTATTATTTAAATATTCAAACATTTTCAAAATGGTTACCTAATAGTATTTAATCTTAATGTAAACAATTTGCTTGTTTTCCGTTTATTAATGCTTTAAAATTAAGCAGAAACGTTGGTATTCAACCCGAGTTTCAGCCCGACCAAAAATTAATTTGAATTGGATCGGTCTAATTAAAAAATTTTCGGGTCGAATTTTTGTATTGCATTGGATTAGGTTCAACCAAACTTTTAGGTTATCTGCTTATCGTATTTAAACAATTAGGTATATTTGACATAAAATGAATGATATTAATAATAACTTAGTGTTACTAGCCAGTTACCTAAAAACTACAGCAATAATTAAAGGGGGTTTTATCAGGTAAACTTTTAATAAATAAACACATACAAAATAAACAATGAAAAACGACCTGTTGCAGATGTTGTCAGTAAGTGAGGTAAATGGTAGATAGCTTACGGTAAATTGTAATAGCAGTGATAGCGGCTTCCTTATTGAGGTTGACGGATTCGAAAGGGCGCTGGATGCAAGTAATTGAGCGTTTCGGAAATATTGAAAAAAACGAGTAGAATATGAAACGACGACGGTACAAATTCGATGAGGTGCAATGCATCAAACGACCGTTACAAAAACGAATGACGCAAACCACGGTCGATCATACAGAGTCCTACAGTTACGGCAGCCCAATGAAGTGGCCGGGTGGTGGTGTAGGTAGGGGGACCATCCTAAACGGTGATGAATGTGATTGGATGGATCGTAATAACGTATTAAACATACTGAACCAGGTGCGGAAACAAACGATGCGATCGTGGTCGATCATACAGTATCATACAGCTATGGCAGCCAATGGAGACATTGGGTGAGTTGCAGGTGGGGGTACGGCTAAATCGGTGATAAATGTGATAGAATGGATCGTAGTGGATGGCGTATCTAACATCCTGAATAATGCCTATGCATTTTACAAATATTAAAAACTTATCCTGTTTTTTTTTTTTTATTTGTATTCTGTACCTAAATCTAAATCAACTGACTGAAAATAAAATAAAAACTATTGCCTACACTATAAGTGTTATAACACTAAAATATTGTTTGCTACGAGTTTATTAAAATATATCCCTTACTTGTTCCAGTCCAGATGTATCCAGTACTAATTTTGCCGATAACAAATAGTCTACAAAAACGTAACTTCCGAAAATGTGACGTGTCTTATTTTGTGTTTGCAATTTAACGAAAGAGTGAATGTGTAATTCAGATATGACACAAAAGACGGAAAGCGAGAATGCAGTGTTAAATATTTAAAATTTAAAAAAGTACATCACACTGTTGTATGTTGGAGATATGTAGTTCATAAGTTTGACGATACGGTAATTACTGACTACTGAGTCGCCTCTTTCAGATGAATTGAATAACGAGTCGAATCAGTGTCTCAAAATTCAATAACTTATATCTCAGTTTCACCAATCTAAGTCAGACAATTCCAAATTTAGTCGCCAATATTAATTTAATTAATATTAAGTTAACGATTCGATAGAATCCGTTTATGAGTCACCGTGAATTGTGAATTGTTTCGCGATTATTTTCAGAAATAATATGGCTGTTGTCGGAACTGTAGATAATACAACTATGACTGTTAAAAATATCAATTAAATCAATTAAAAATACTGAAATCATAGATATAGACATTATATTATATTAAAGTATTTTCATATTATATATCAGGGATGGGCAACTGGTGGTCCACGGGCCGTATTCGGCCTGCGTACAATTTTTCACTGGGCCGTGCTACATGTATCCGCTACCAAGAATACTAGCATCTAGACATTGCCCAAATCCCTCTTTATCTTAATTCATCCTTTGTCCTCCCCGTTATACTGTTTCCAGTCTGCCGAAGGCAGGTCTGAGGGGGAACACAGTAAAATCTAATTTCTAGACGTTTTTACCTGTTCCTGTATCTCAACCAACTTCAAAGTCACCGTATCCTTATCCCTTAGTATCCTATCCGCCATGGTACATATCGTTCCCGCAGTTTTAGCAGTGGTGCCAACTTAAAAAACGAAATTTTAATATAAATATTATTATATTATTATACAATATTTTCTATTTGAATGTAATATATATCCAATATCTTCTGCATTCTACCCGACGGACCTTGGCCAGCTCATTAATTTATAAAATGTTAGGATTTATCTTTATTTTATTTTATTATATTTATAAAATCGATATGATTTTTATCACAGACTAAGATGCACAGAACTGGATCCGAGATAAATTTTATAGTTACGAAATGTTATAGAACAAACGAAGATCAGGGGGTATTTCTCATCTAGCATTAATAGCGCCGTCTTAGTGGATACTTATGGAACTTATAGTTTATTTTATACTAACAAAATACAATAATATCTATTGTGGTATTCTTGTTCATTGTGAGCGATATTATAAAAAATTTAAAAAATAATAGGTGGGTACAACCTGGTATTATAAGCCAATGCCAATTATGTAGGTACATAATAATTATTATATTAGATTATATATTATTACATGTTTTTATTATCTATGGTCAAACAACGTCGAACCGCCAAAACAAAATGATAACACCGTGTATTTTGCCCCAGTTCGACTGTGGCGAACCACAACGTTATCATTCTCCGAGAGGACCCACTGGAAGTCCACACCTACGCTGCGAATTCTAACGTCCGACGCGACCGCGTCTTGCGAAACCGGGTTTCGCGCCACATTTCTTTCTTCCCGCTGCGCGTCGCTCGTGGCGGACGTCGGCCACGCCCCTCGCCGTCGGCGTTTAACGGTTTTTGCACACAGCTCCGCTCGACTCGACTGCTCGACCGCCCGCTCGCTCTCTCCACACCGACGCCGTACGCGAAGCATTGTTTCCGACTCCGATCAATCATTATATATAATTTTTTTTCTTAATTAATGTTGTTTTAATTGTTGCGTGCTCGCCCTTTCTTCCGTCAAAAGTCGTCAGCTGGCGAACACTTGTATTATGTTTTGATGTTGTAAATAAACGTTACTTTTTACCTTATCATAAACCTCGTGTCTTGGTGTAACCCGCCAAATTGGTGACCTCTCTTTTTTTTTTTTTTTTTTAAAAAAACCTTCCACGTTAGTCACGTGTCATGCAGGCGTGGGGTGATATGTTGTCGCTCGACGATACGAACTACGACGCGAGTGCGAACTCGGCCGCCGCGAACACTAATGTAAGCGCGTTCGCTTCATTAAAATTACCTGGATTCTGGCGACATTCGCCGCAACATTGGTTTACACACGCGGAAGCAGTTTTCCACAACCAACGCATTAAAAACGACCTGTAGCGCGTAAGCCACGTGTTCGCCGCGCTCGACGAGGACGGCGTTCGTGCCGTCGCTGATTTGCTCGGCCCCGACGTCCAGTATTCCGCGGTGAAGAGCCGTTTGGTTTCCACTTACGACGTCCCGCAGGCCACGCGGTTCCGTTCAATTATCCAGCACGGAGGCATGGGTGACCGGCGGCCGTCTCAAATGTTACGCGATATGCGTAGCGCGTTGCCCGACGGTATCGGCGAAGCTACGCTGAAACAATTCTGGCTTCAAAAACTTCCGGCAACCATTCTCGCCATCGTTTCGGGTCTGGACGGCACCCTGGAGTCATTGGCCGAGCGCGCCGACCGAGTCGCGGAAGCAAGCGCTGGTCATAATTTATCAGCCGTGGCGCACGAGCCCGATCGTTTCCACTCCCTCGAGGAAAAAATTTCGTCGCTCACCACGCAGATCGCCGCATTGGTAGCAGCACAGACTGCTCCAGATCGATCATCGCGCAGCCGAGACAAATGATATGACCGAACCATATTGTCTTACATACATTTCCTCAAATCTACAGCTAATAATGCCCTAAACGTACTCAAAATTTTACTACACATATCATGAGGTGGTGATTCGAATACACTTATCAAAATACATAAATCAATTATACAATCCAAACTCAACTTTATACAAATATTAATGATATACAATCAATTTGATACAATTCATCATTTTATTCTGCCCTTAAATCTATTGATAGTATCAACAACTGCAGATTTAGACTAGCGATAGGTGTCTTCTATAGCAGCTTTAATTTCAGCATTGCTCAATTATAATATAACCGGTGAACCGGCACCTGGGATTAAAAGGACTGATATATCCATTAAATACATGGCTAGAACAAATTCGTTATGAACTGACCCGTCAAAAAACCAAAATCGACGGGACCCTGGACTCAGCACTCGGACCAGAAAAAGAAGACAACTTTAAGATGATTGAATTTTTCAAAGCATCAGAACTTTACAATTTAATCTAATTATATATTTATCTTCTGTTTATATGCTCTAATACTTTGTATATTAGTTTTATAATTTTACTTCTCTTTTATATGTAAATAGCGTAAATACTATAATTCTCATATCCATAACTATTATTTCCCCCTCCCCTCTTTCATTATAACTCAAAAATATCACCCTTATAAACACTCCTGAAAATGTATAATTATTGTAACTAATAATTACATTCCTTAGATGCCGGGTTATTTCAAAATCAATAAAAA